CTCCTAGACACTATAATTGCACAAAAAATAGTTTATAAATGCAAAAAAAAAGTGCATTTAGCATGATATGTCTCCTTTAAGTACAAAAAAATGTTAGATATTTTAAGACTTACTCAATTAATATTCTTAGAGGTGACTTTAACTTTTACCAACGTAATTTTATAGTAAGATACTTGTAGGCCTACTTTTACTCCAGTATTACTTTGAAATTCTTTATACAAGACTGGTTTTTAAAAACTGGTCCAGGTTTAATTTTTCTGCTAAACTCTGTACTGCATCTATATCTGTGTTCGCACCATATCCTGTCCGTAGGCGGAGGCGGGATGTTGACAGCCAGAGTCCCCGACAACTCTCGGACCTCCACGGTGAGCAGCAGGGGGGTGTTGGACATCTCTTCGAACTTCTTCTTGATGAACTCGTTCTCGGCAGCCCTCTGGAAGTACTTGGATTTAGCGATTTTGTCCACCAATCTCAAAATCTTCCTTCCAGTCTTCCCTCCACCCACCCTGTTGAAAGAGGATTAGAGGAGAGGAGAGAGTTAGCGTGAGCCTTCGTTTGGCACCAGATTTAGTGCTTCAGATGCTGAAGTCCAAAGAGAGTCATGGCTCTGGTGGGAAAATGAAATCAGGAACCATCTGGAGTGTGATGTCAGTGCAGCTTAGTTGTCTGTTCTTAGTAAATGAGCATTCACAAACCAGAAGGGTGGAAATGACACTACATGCTGGAAAATTACTGAGAAAATTACTTTACATATCTCAGTGTATTACATCTATTTATTCTGGTGCTATAATTGTTTTTATTATTGACTGAAGCCAAAAGGTGACAGGCGGGTGATAATGTTTTTGTCTGTGTCTGTGGTAAGCAAAACTACACGAGTCACTGGACAGATTTTAAATAAAACTCAGAAAGAAACTATTGACTACACATCTACAACTAATTACTGTTTGGAGTCAAGCCAATTCTAAATAGCTGCTACAGCCAGCTGTCATTAAGAAACACAAAATGGCTCAATGATTTCCTGTTGTGTTCAAAGCTATTTGTTAGCAAAATATCTCAAACACTAAACAGATTTCAATAAAACTCTCTAAATGTATCTCCAACTTTGAAGTCCACCCAATTCAAGATGGCCACCACCTGACATTAGCCAAAAACATAAAAGGGATTGTTTGACTCATTCATTTTTACAGATATTGAGCAACAAAGTGATGACAGTGGCTGAGAATCCTTCAGGACTGAGAGCTAACAAATTGAGTGAAAGAGAGTGTATGGTCATTTGTAAAGTTGAAGCAAAACAATTCCAACTCTGTCATTCTCAGCACAGGATGAAGTTAGTTAAAAGGGTGGCAGGTTTGTTTGTTTGTTTGTTTGTTTGTTTGTTTGTTTGTTTGTTTGTTTGTTTGTTTGTTTGTTTGTTTGTTTGTTTGTTTGTTTGTTTTGCAGTGTTTACCCTTCAGTTGCTGTTGTGGAGCATTTCTCCCCAACCAAACCATGAGGCTCAGAGAGAAGCAGCTCTTCGTCGTCAGATGAAGCTGCACTGGAGGACTCTTCATCACTGTCTGCCAACACGTCGAGAACGGGTTTGGAGCTATAAGGGAGCGCGCACACACACAAACACACACCCACCCACACACACACACACAGATGCTGGTGTTTTAGATGCATGTCTGAGATTTCATCATCATTTTTAACACTTTCCCATCACAGACTTTTACGGTTGCTGTAATTAAACCTCCTCTTGATCAATGTGTGTGTACCATGTTTTTCTTAACTTTTTAGGATCGTTTCTAGTGTAAACACCTACCTTGTCAGAACCAGTAGTCCTATGAGGACCAAAGATCAGTCCAAATATGGTGGAACTCCATTTTTGGGGTAGGGGCTATGGGTTTAGGGTGAGGGTCATGTTTAAGCTACAGAAATGTGTGTGTGTGTGTGTGTGTGTGTGTGTGTGTGTGTGTGTGTGTGTGTGTGTGTGTGTGTG